TACTGTCGGGGCACCTGGGTGGCTCAGTCATTAAGCGTCTGCCTTCAGCTCAGGTCATGATCCCAGGGTCCTGGGATCGAGCCCTGCATCGGGCTCCCTGCTCTGCGGGAAGCCTGCTTCTCCCTTTCCCACTCCCCCTGCTTGTGTTCCCTCTCTCGCTGTGTCTCTATCAAATAAATAAATAAAGTCTTTAAAAAAAAAAAAAAAAAGAGTAATATACTGTCATAAAAAAAAGAATAATATATTGTCATCAACAAAAAAATAAGTCTTTACTGTGCGCCAAGCCCTATTCCTAATGCTTTCCATAGAATGGTGTATGGCTAGATCACATTTCCCAGCCTTCCTTGCAATTAGAAGAAGCCATGTGATCAAGTTCTCCCCAGTCGAATGAGAAAGGAAGTGACAGGCAGAACTTCTGGGTTAGGGCCCTTAAGAGACATGTGCCTCCTACATATACTCCACCTCCCACTGGCTATAAAAGACTTCCCAGCCACCAGCTTTGACAGCTTAGGGGAGTTCAATGCTCTGGAGACTGCTGGAAAAACAAGTTGTTAACACTTTGGTCCCTGTATGACTAAGAAAGAATGCCACCCCAATGTCTAAAACACTCTCCCTGGGGGGCGCCTGGGTGGCTCAGTCCTTAAGCGTCTGCCTTCAGCTCAGGTCATGATCCCAGAGTTCTGGGATCACGCCCCGCATCGGGCTCCCTGCTCCGCAGGAAGCCTGCTTCTCCCTCTCCCACTCCCCCTGCTTGTGTTCCCTCTCTCACTGTGTCTCTCTGTCAAATAAATCAACAAAATCTTTAAAAAATAAAAATAAATAACAATAAATAAAACACTCTCCCTGGACTGCTAAGTGAGAAAGGAAATAAACTTCCATCTTGTTTGAATCATTGTTTGGGGTGAATTATTTATTAAAGCACTTCAGACTACCCTAATTAATACATACAGATTAGCAGCTAATCCCCTCAGCAACCCTATAAAATTGTTGTTATTATTATTATCCTGAAATTAGAGGTCAGGAATTTGAGGCGCTAAGAACTTAAGAAACTTGCCTGACACACTACTTGAAGCCAGAGTCAAGCCAAGCAGTCTGGCTCCAGGGCCCATGCACACTGGAAATCCTGCCAAATATCTCAAAAGAAACAGTTATTCTTGTGTGTTACGCCACCCTGCACCAGACTAATTTTTTACAACCACCACCCCAATCCCAGCAGTTTAGTGACCACTGCCAACAGGGATTGTCCTGGTTCAAAATCATGCACCAACAAGTTTAAATTCCAGCCCATAAAGGGCACCTGGGTGGCTCAGTCAGTTGAGCATCCCCACTTTTTGGTTTTGGCTGGGGTGGTGACCTTAGGGTCATGGGATGGAGTCCCAAGTAGGGCTCTGCTCTCAGCAGGCAGTCAGCTTCTCTTTTTTTCCCTCTCCCTGTCTCTCTCTCAAATAAATAAATCGTTAAATAAATAAATTCCAGCCCATAAAAGTAAACTCTACAAAGGGATTCCTTCTATGCTAAGATCAGAAATACCATCGCACCATACCAAAGCTACTAGGAGGGGCTGGGGAGTCAGCAGTGTCAACAGAAGTTGGGTTTATACAAGCCAGAGAAAAAAACGAAAATCAGTCATTTTCAATTTCTCTCATTGTGTGGTTCAATAATTAATATTTTTACTTAGTACAGAAATCTTGGTTCCCAAATTCTAAACACGGCCAAGAAGAAATATTGATGGAAAATATGGCAGGTACCAGAAAAGACTAGAAGTACTACAAACTGGAGGGAGGGTAAAGTAGGTAGATAAAACCACACGGGGTTTCAGAAGCAAAGGACCAAGGTTTGAGACTCAGACTATGAGGACCTAAGTAAGTAGTTCCCAAATCCAAAGCATGTCAGGCATATATATAAACAGCAAAGTGCTAAGAAAAAAGGAAACAAACCTCATTTTAAACATTTGGTACCCTTATTTTCCAGGCACTTAGAAGAATATACAGACTTTACCTTCAAGGAACTGTCTATCTAGAAGGGGAGATATGCATATAATATGTACACACAAAATGACACACACTTAGTATCTATTTTCTGTGTATCAGAAACTGTTCTAATCTTATTACATGCTCCATATACCAACTAATTTATTCCTATGAGCTTGGTCTATTAACATCCTAACTGTACAGATGAGGCACGGAGAGGTTTAAGTATTGTGTCCTGGGACACACAACTAGTAACTGAACAAAGTGGACTAGAAATTTTAATTACATTCAAATCATAAAGAAGCTTATGCCCTTGCTAAAGGATCTGAATTTCACCCTATTGGTCAGTGGTTCCCAACTAGAGCTGGTATATCAAAATATATACACCTACCAGGCCCCCCTTGGTGGGGGAAGAAGGCATTCCCACTGTTGAGGATGACTGCCTTTGTAAGCTTCTTTTACTATTGGGAGGGTGCCCTACCCTCTGGGTATTGGGGTAAACAAACACAAATGGAGAACTGCACTTATCCAGGTGATGGGGAGCCACTGGCCTCAGGGGCAGAGAACTCCAAAAACAACACTCACCAGGAAGGCAATGTAGCTGTGAGTCCAGTCACACTAGTTAGTAAGGTCCTGGTCTATTTCTCTTAAATTTAAAGCTACCTAAACAGGGAAGCTCAATATCCTTTTCACTCATATGCTTTAAGTGTATATAACAGTTTTTGGCTACACACTCAGATACCTCTTGGCAGAATAATTAACACTGTTTAACATACCATGCTGAACAACCATGGCCTCTGCCCCCTCACTGCTTTCAAAATAACTATATTTACCAGGGTATCTTCCCCCATTTGCATTTCCCATATATAGGTTTTGAGAAGAAATCCAGAATACTCTTTAACAAAAAAAAAAAAAAATACTCTTTACCACAATTTACCTGGACCTTTTTTTTCTCCTTTGAAACAATCTCCTGGTTTATATCAGTACAATGTTTTACCTAAGCAGAATCACAGGGCAGCAGAAAACATTTCACCTCTTATTTCACAAATGAAGAAAATAAGTCTCAGAAAGGGAAAACAACTTGCCCATTGAGTACAGAACTGAGACTTGAACCCTGGGTCTCTGCCACCAAGCCCCGTGAGAAAGGCTTACAATTAGTGGTAACCAGGATGCTTTTAGGTGGATCACAACATTTTTTACTTTAATAGTTAGGCACAGGAGAAATACAATCACCACACCTAATCAGTTTCAGATATTACTATGAGATGTATTTAGTAAATAATAATACACATCCAACACAAATATGGAAAACTGGGAAGCAGTATACAATCACTCAAGTTTGAGAAACAATGCACCATGCCCCTCTCCTTCTAATTGAAGGGTTAAATTAATAGTAGGCAGAGCATTAAGCATTGATCTCTTCCTCTCTAATTCATACACTTGATTTCTTTTTCTTGTCTTGTTGTATTGGCTAGGACCTCCAGTACAAGGCTGAAAAGAAACCATTACTGATAGTATCCTTATCTGATTCTAAATTTAATGCTACTTCTAAAGTTTCACCATTAAGTATTGTGTTGTTTTTTTTTTAGAACTTTAGTAGATACACTGTTTTTGAGTTTATGGAAATTCCTTCCTATTCCTAATTCAATAAAATTTTTTGAACACTGATCTGTGACCCACCCTTCTGCCTTCCACCCATACTTACTTTCTCTTATTTCAGGTTCCTTCCTACATCCTCTGCACTTCCCAGTACTGTATCTGTCACCCAAACAGAATCTTTGAGGGATATTCTGGGGGTTCTATACCTGTCTGCTGTTCCAGTTCCCCAAACCAAAATGTTTCTAACACCAAAATATTTCTAACACCGATAGCTGAAAGAAAATCCTAAAACAAACATTGTTCTGATCAAGTCTTCTCTACCATCTCTCAAACACACCCTCAGTATCTTCCCTTCTTTAAAATAAAAACTCAGGGAAAAAAAGAACAAAATTGTTCTAGATTCCTGTTAACTTTCCAATTCAGAGCCTAGCTCTGAATAAGCCTGAGTAAGTGACTATGAGAATCTCAAGGATTTTGAGGTTTTGAGGGAGGCAGCTGGAGCCAGATGTTCATAACTTCTCCTTTGCTAAAAAGAAAAATATTAAAATAGGAAAGAGATAGGGGTATAATCTGTAAGCAAATAAGATAGTTCCAGGAAAGAGACCAGAGGGGAAAATCAACCCTTTAAAGCCCAAGCAAGTTATGAATTCTTTCCCTCATCAGTTTTTCTTTCAAAACAAAAGGGCACACACAATCTTTCCCGAGGCAGCAACACCGAAGGGAGCAGCCAAAATGTTGCATCATACAAACCACTCCGAGTTTGAGAAACAAGAAACCCAGATGGTGGTAAAATACCTAAGACAGGAAAACCCAAGTTGGGAATCTCGGTCTTTCCCGGAAGCCCCGGAATGTCTGCTTTCTAAAAAAAAAAAAAAAATTTAAGATCGCATCGAAAATTAAAGTTAGAGTTTCATGCCAGCGGGAAGCGAAATGCTCGTTGACAAAGCGTTCCAAGAAGTTGGGTTCATCTCCCGACTGAGAGGTTTCGGTCCCGGCCGGGGGAGACTCGGAGGTGAGGGTGGGCCGGCGCTAGGGCGGGAGCGGGGCCGGGGGTTACTGGGCCCACCCCCGCCCGGGTCCTGCGGGCAGCGGCGCGTCCCACTCCGACGCGGGACGACGGTCTGGCGGCCGCCGGAGCCCGCGCAGCTGGAAGCGGTGACCGCCGCTCCGCGTGCCGGCTGCCGGGGGTGCCGGTCCCGCCCGGGCTCCCTCAACGGGCCGGGGCGGCGGGAAGGCGCGGGTGGGCCCGAGACAATGGGCCGGGGGCGCGGTAGCAGCTTCTCTGGGCCGGGGGGGGGGGTGCCGGGCGCCACGCGAGGGCGCCGTGGGGGCGCCGGGGCCGAGGAGCGTCCGGGGCGCAGGGACGCCGCCCCTCCACGGCCGGCCGGACGCCGGGGACTCAGCGCGGCGGGACCGCGGGCGAGCGCTCACCTTGACGAAGAGCTCGATGACAGGCTCTTTGTCCTCCTCCTTCAGCCCGTTCAGCGGCATCGACAACGCCATGGCCGGTTCGGCTGCGCTCCGTGGACGGCGGCGGCGGCTGCTCCTGCTCCGGGGCTGCTCCGGCTGAGGGTTCCCGCCCCGCTGCGCCTCCCTGGACAGTCCCGGCGTGTAGCTCACAGCTGCCTCGCCTGCCCAGCACTGCCCCACGCCCCGCGCGCGACTCGGAGGCGTCCCCAGCCCGAGCCGCTTCAAGCCGCGGGGCGGGGCCCGGGGCGGGGCCTCGTCGGGGGGCGGGGCCAAAGGCCCTGCGTCTCGGGACCCTGGAGGAAACAGGGAGGACGCAGCTCGCGGGGTGTGGCTTCGGGCGGGGGCGGTAGAGAAGCTCAGGCTCGGGCAGTAGGTGGGTGGGACTCCGAGCCACGCCTCCCGAGGGGGCGGGTGGGAAATTCCCGCGGGGGCCGGAGCCTGACACCGCCTCCCGCCGCGGCGCGGGCGCGTCCTCGCAGCTGCTGCTGGCGCGCTGCCCGGTGACCTCATGCCTTCGGCTGGCCTGGGGAGGAGAGGAGGCGCCTCCCGCTCTGTCCGCCCGCTGCAGCCCACTGGACTCAGCCCTTTTCCGCAGCGGCCACCTCCCCGACTCCCTCTGCTAGGGCGGAGCTGCCTTCCAGAGGGACTTTTTGAAAAGTTTTCATTCCCTTAGAAACACCTTTTTTTTCCTCCTCTGACTTCTTCCTTTTTTCTTTGACTCTCCTGTCACTTCTATCTTGGAGCCAGCATATTGACAAATATTTATGAAGCCCTCGTGTGTTTCAGGCCCCGGGTGGTAAACAGCACGGACATGATCCCTCTCCTAGAGCCTACAGTCTTGAGCTGCAACCCTAGTGCCTGAAGGCTAGGAAGGATTCCTAAGCCATTTCCAAGCTGTTCCTCCTGCCTGGACTGATTTCTTAACCCCACTCACCTGGCCAACTCGAATGTGCATCAGAATCACCTGGGTGCTACACCCAGACCCGCTTTATCCATCTAATTCCCCTTCTCTGGGGAAAGGGGAAATTCACATTTTAACAAGCATCAGGACAATTTTGATATAGGTGGTCCTTAAACCGGAGAAACTGTCCTGGGTTTTTGGCCCCAAAGACAGGGACTGTGATCCTTTGAGCCAGGCAGGAGGTAGGTACCTAGTCCAGGTTTGCTACTGCTGAATGCCTGGAGCAAATATCACCACCACCACCACCACCACCATCCCCCCCGCCCCGCCCGCCGCCCGCCCGGGAAAGAGTTACTTGTTCCCTCTTCTGACTTTCCGTAATACTTGACTCAGAACTTTTCCCCACTTCCCAGGTTCAGTTGAATGATGAAGGCCAGTCGTATAGGAGGTTTGTCTCTCAACATCCTTAGTGTATTAACACATTTCAGTTTGAACAAATTGAATGTATGCGTGAAAATACTGTGAAACCTGCAGCTTCTTCCTCTCCCAGACCATAGCAAGTTGCTCAAATATTCTTGTAGGGACTCTGTGAAAGAGACGGTGTCCCCAGAGGTCAGGAGCCCTGCTCTAGAGTCAGACGAAGTCCTGAAACCCCTAAGCCTCAGTTTCATTATGGCGGGTGGGGTGCTCTTACCAGTCTCTGCCTTATGGCAAGTGCCACTCAGTCAGTGACGGCTATTAGCTCCGCCCTGAGCCTTGTACCGTCCCCGTTCACCCCTGCAGCCTAGGATGATGTCATTTTCAACTCCCTCCGTGACCAGCTTGTTTGTTGAAAAGAAAGAAACACCAGGGGGCTGCCCCCCAGACAGGGACTTAACACCTAAAACAAACTGAAGTGCCTGTCTGGACTCTGAACTGAACTCAATGTTAGTTTTTCACGAAATTATGAACTGAACCAAAGTTCCCTTCCAGCCACCCCCTTCCACCCTGCCTGAAAAGCAACCAAAGTGGTCATCTGGTTCAAAGCAAATCCAAGTCTAAAATGATCAAATGAAATCTCAAAGAAGGCCCCAAACTGGCCCTGGAGCCGAGGAATATTTCCAGGCATCCTGTTCTCCCAGGTGTGCCTGAGGGGTTATCGAATTCAGTTTGAATCAGCGAACATTCCCTGCGGTGTCTGTTGCCAGTCACGTACTGGCCTCCCGGCACCAGGATAAAGAGATGGGGAAAGCCTGGAAGTAGGGCTCTTGAGACCTCCTTGTCTACGCTCAGATCTTAGCTGCAAGGAAACCAGACATTCTCCTCCTCGGAACACTGAGGCAGTGGTGGTCTCCAAGGCTCAGACCCCAAGCCTGTGCTTAGAAACCCGGTCACAGTCACTCATACCTGGTTTCCCCACTTTCAACCCCATGGGCTCACAGGGATGGGGTGAGGCTCATGGAGCCTCCCCTGCATAAACATCCCAACTGGGATGTTTATGCAGGGGAGTTGGGATGTTTATGCAGGGGAGCCTCCATGAGCACGTTGTGCTCAAGTCTCATTTTCCAACTGTGAAATGTATGCATAGTTTGCTTTCTAAACTCATGTTTGTTTCTATAGCACGCCCACCAACTTTAAAGATGGGTGGAGATGCGTTCTCCTTCCCACCTCCCCCCACACCTTTCTGACCTCATCTTAACTGCTCTCCCCTTTGCTCTCTACCCCAGCCACACCCATCTCCTTGGTATTCCTCCAACAGGCCAAACACTCTGAGAGATCTCCCAAATACCATCCTATCCGACCGTGCAAGCTGTTATAGGTCATTCCACCCTCCATTTTATCTTTTTTTTTTTAAGATTTTATTTATTTATTTGACAGAGAGAGACACAGCGAGAGAGGGAACACAAGCAGGGGGAGTGGGAGAGGGAGAAGCAGGCTTCCCGTTGAGCAGGGAGCCTGACGTGGGGCTCGATCCCAGGAAGCTGGGATCATGACCCGAGCCGAAGGCAGCCGCTCAAAGACTGAGCCACCCAGGCGCCCCTATTTTATCTCTCTCTATACCACCACCCCCGGTCATACAGTCTACTTATTTATTTGCATCTTGTCTGTCTCCCCACACTAGAACATCAACTCTATGAGAGCAGAGATTTTTGTTTGATTTTGCTCATGGCTATATTTCCAGCTCGTGGAACTTCTCATGGTACGCAATAAAAACTTATGGAATGAGTGAACGAGCCGTGTTTAGGCTATGGTTTCCTGTACCCCAGGCATACTCTGGAGGGTCCTGCTTTCCTGGTCTGAGAAGCCAGGTGCTTTGTGTGTGTTATGATTGCCACTTGCCAAGGAGTCAGGTTTTCCAAAGGACAAGATGGCGCCTCCAAAAAGCTTCCCCTGATGACACACTTCCCTCCTCCCACTCCTGATTATGTGGCGTTGCTGGCCGACCGTCTCAACCCCACTTTCTACAATTGAGGCAGTAGAGAGGTGCTATGCACAGGCACTCTGGGGCCAGACTGCCTGGTTTCCACTCTGTCATTTCCTAGCTCAGTATAACTTATTCAGTCTCTCTGGGCTATAGTCTCTTGTCTATAAAATAGACCTAAAAATTATACCTATTTGATAAGATCATTGGTAAATGAATCTATGTTAAGCGCTTGGAATGGTGCCTGGCGTGTGGTAAGTGCCCTGTAGGGACTGTTGATATTGTACCCATGTGTGCATCGGCTTGACCACTGTCCCACATTACATGCCCAACTGCTAGCTGGTTGTTTCCTGAACCAATCACATCTATTCCTCAGGGGGTGTCAGAGGAATAGTTTTCATTGTCCCCATTTTACAATTAAGAAAACAGGGTCAGAGGGGAGAAACAGAAGCCGTTCAGCTGGGAAGATGGTGGGGCTGCAATTCGAACCCACCATTATCTCTTGACTACACTGTCCACTAAGTGAGTATGGGAAAAGGTAGGCTCCTACTCATACTTCCAGGCACACTCATAAATTCCCCTGCTGTAGGGAGTGTCTTTCCACTGTTGCACTGGTCCGGATTCTACACCACCACCCATCAAGGTCAAGGTCAGGGTGGTGTTGCAGTTCTCAGTGTGGGCTTCACTGGCAAACTGCCTGATTTCCAACCCCAACTTGGGTGAGTTACTCAAGTACGTTCCCTCATCACTACAGCAGACAATAAAAGAGAACCTAACTCATAAAGTCACTGTGAGGATTAAATGAGATAATATCTGCATTAAGCATTTAATAAGAAGCATTTAATAAATATTAGCTATGATTACTCTTCATATCAATGTGTTCTGCCCTGGTATTCTATGAGCTTCCTGGAGCACTGGGAAACTTATCATATACATCCTTACTTGAGCTAAATATTTCACTTCCCAGCCATGTGATTTCAAGCAAGTTGCCTTCTCTGTACCTTCGGTTTCCTCATGCAAAATGATGATAATTACAATACCTACCTCACAGGCTTGTGATGGAGATTATACAGGTTGATAAATGTAAAGCACTTAACATAGTGTCTGGCATATACTACGTGCTCAATACACATTAGTTATTATATATGCTCTATTATTGCTTAACTCAGTGCCTGGCGCATTATATAGGATAATAATAATCAGACTAAGTGAAAGAATAAATAAAATAAATTTCAAACATTGCCTTTTAACTTCCCATTTCCTAAGTTCATATTGTTGTTCCTCTCACTGCACATATTATAGGTGTTCAGTTATTCTTTGATGATGCCAGTCAACCCAGCTATGGAAAATCCCAACGCAGCTTTGAGTTTCAACTCTGTCCCCATTGATGTGAATTAAGTCCTATAAAATCTTGCTAATTGTGACTTAGCCATAATTCTGGCTAAAGTTTAACCTGAATGCTGTGTCCATAGAAGCACCAACATTTCCAGCCTCCCTATAGATAGATCTGAGCTCCCCTGGAAGAATCAAACACAGAAGCTGGAGACACATTTCAGTTCAGCTTTTCTAGGCCCTTGGGATAGAGTTCCAGTGTGTGGGTCCAAGGACTAACGTGTTCCTCCTGGCCACAAGCCCCAGTAGATGGACCTTCATTAGGAAAAGGACCCATCCAGGTACCATTTGAAACAAGGGTACAGTGGAGAAAGTTTCAGAGAGGTTAAGCAGTTTGCCTAGGGTCACACATCCGGTAAGTGGCAGAGCCAATAATCAAACTCAGATCTCTTTATCCGTGTTGCCCTTACCCTGGCCAACCATCTTCTCATAATGCTGGTCTTAAAGGGTTCTTATGAGTGTTTAAAAAAGATGGCACATGGA